ACAGGATGAGTCACATCATTTGAAACTTAGCCCTGATTGGAGAAATTGGAAGTGTTACAACTGACCCACGTTACAACTATCCCCGGTCTCCCCTATCTTCTGTGACTCAAACTCAACCATCCATGTGTGGACCGCCCCGTTTCCATCGCCCAGCCTTGATTGGTGCGCTCCCCACAGTAGATGATTTATCTGTTTCTTGATATTTAGATGAAAAAGCTATGACATATCTTTTAATTTGCTATTCTCTTAGTTTTGATTACTTTTATGCTATCTGACGCTCATATGGGACTCTTGTTACCAGCCAAAAAGATCCTTGATAAAGAAGCAGAGGGTACACCTCTAAGGCACACAGTCAAATTAGAGTTTTTTTTCCCTCCTCCACTCTGTCTCATTCACTTTTTTTATGGGCCCCACCTCTTGACACTGACGAAATAACCGCGTTATTTAGGTAAAATTGAAGCTGTTCCGTGCCAGCATTTCACGGTCTCAGTCGCTGTGTGCCCATCATTCCAGAGCAGGACACTACAACTGCGGAGCATCAAGGGGAAGATAAGTGCTGCTTCCAATGTGGAACAGACCTATTTAGGCACTTTTTTTACGCACGCATGTTGCGGACCGGGACTAATTCCGTATAAGGACGTAAATCTATTTTTGTACATTTTATGGAATAAAAATCATTTAAAGGTAAGTTTATTTCTGTTTGGATAGTTATCTTTGAATTAAGGAAGAATTGAGACAATTCTTTGCAAAATAACTGATTTCCTATTGTTGGTTTGTTGCTTTTTCAATGTGTATTTTGCTATAACATTAAACAAATATTAAATCAAATGAATGCAACTTTTAAGAACACAAGTCGTTTAAGACAAACACACGCGCCACGATGTTGTCCTCAGATAACCTGCACCGATGTGCAGATGTTTCTTGACGAGTAAGACAAACAATTCAGAAAAAAGAGTCTGTTGACTGAAGATTACTGGAGTCAGTTGTTAGAAATTGGAGTGACCATGCCACCCATGTCATAATTTCTGTGGAGTGTCCAGAAGCAACAGGTGTTCCTGAGAAGAAGAACCGTCGCATAAAGTGTTGCTATTGCCAAAAGTGAGGTTTTGAATCAATAACTGTACTTAAAGCGGACGGTTGTGCTTCATAGCAAGGGACATCCCTGAACTGCGCTCGAACTGTAAAAGCCTGCAACCAATTAGTTTCCCTGTGATGCTTCAGTATTGATCTGTGTTCGTTTTTCAGCTTTCTTAGAGAGAGAAAGAGGGTTTAAAAAAACTTCAGCAATTACATCAAGTCATGCATGTCTTTGTGTAAATATGACTAAATTATTTCACGTTAAGCTAAGAGCAATATATCCTCCGTCGATATATGGTATTAAAATATTTTTAAAGTCTCATTTATTTTCCGTTAGAATGGTTCAATTGAATCGACGTGGAGCTCGTGGGAGTTAAAGGCGCAGACTGCCATCCTGCAGTATTTTAGAGGATGATCTTTTGAACCTGCCAGTTGCCATTAGTGCGAGATTGTCTCCCTTTGAAAACAAACAATACTAGTTTTCAGTTAGCACTGCGACCCACCGCATGTGTTTATACAGCGGGGTGCAAATGAGGGTGAGGGGCTCGGTGCTCCTGTCCTTCTGTCTCCACAAACTCACAACTCCGACCCCACAGGGAGTCTTACATCTGAACCCCCGAGACATACAAAGCTCAACATCTTAGTTAGAGACGAATAAAAGATCATGCTTGGTAATAGATATTATAAACACAACGTATTAAACGTATTAAAATCACACTTTAGCCCGTTGGAACATCTATTTTTCATGTGGATATTTTGCGAATACACATGCTTAATAAATGGGGAGTATTTTTTTCTCTCCAGACCATAATGTTAGAAAAGTGCTTAAACAGACTTGTCTGTTATAACCTACTGTAGGAGTTGCATTTCTCCATAAGCCAAATGTGGATGCAATTAACATTTAAACTTTAAATTTCTTGCTTCCTAAGCTGCACTCCCTTTCCTTTTTTCTTCTTCTTTCCAACAGATGATACTGAATATAAAGCATGTCCTGTGGTTATATTGCCTCTGTGAAGCTGCAGCTGCAACAGGTAAGCTTTGAACGGGTTAGTTCTCCTCCCTTGTTTTTTAGTCACTCCTCTTTCTCCTGCTCCCTTGCTCCATGCCTAAGTTTTGTATTTTCTCTGTTTTTCTTTTTTTTTAGTCACTCCCCACCCACATCCCTCCCTCCATTCTTCTCCCTGCCTCTGCCCTTTTTTTCATTTGTATTCCTCTACTCTTCTTATAGCTCCAGAGCAACTGTTTAGCATGTTTGATAAGTTTCTTCCAGTCTTTGCTGTGTGAAACCTGCAAGACTCTACTTAGAGGTAGGTCAAGAGGAATTGAGGGTTACAATCTAGGACCTGCATACTACTTGTCCCCATAGCTTTGTCTCTGTCTCTGGGTATGGGATGGACACCTTTCAATTAGACTCTGCTTCCAGTCTGGAAGCTGAACAGCTGGTTTCATCCCACATCCTAATAAGACCCTCTGTTGAAGCATACAGACTCACACCTCTTGGCCTGTCCGCACGGAGCATTCCTCCCATTATTCCCTGTGAATGCTTTTCTACCCCATCCAAAATAACTGTAATCATCTTATTGTCATTTGCAATTAGAACTTTATCTGACATGCAGAATACACATAATACTGTTCACTGACATACTTCTGTTTTTGTGGGTTTGCTTATTTAGTTTATCCTTTTTTTTAAAAGCAGGAACATGCACAGAGCTTAGCAGCAAACTTTCATGAAATAATACAACCATGATGACTTTCCCTCTTTCCCTGATTATCTATAACTTGATGCAGACATGCTGCACATACACTGCCCTTGTGTTGAATATGTTCCCACACCCATCATTTTAAAGTTGAGGTTTAACTTTCCAAGAGTCAAATCATAATGGATGCTTTTTTAAAGGCTTGGTGCAGTGGTCACACCCTATCAGTGCAAATGACTTGTGCATTTCATACTGTCTGGTTCGATCTGTTAGGATAAGAGGGAAAATTGAAGAGGAGATATGTGCATTTTGAATAAAATAAAACAATAAAGAAGGTTGCCATTAAAATAGAAACATTAAATGAACTTGCACTCCATCTAACTCTGGCCTTTTGCCTTTCAGCCTCAAATGCATTATCAGTCATCCAACCAGTCATAGGGTCCCTCTCAGGGAAGGTAAATCTTCCCTGCTACTTTTCCACAATCCCAACCTCAGCACCAGTCATCAGTCCCAGTGGAACAGTCGTTTACAACAAGGATTACTTGCGGATCAAATGGAGCAAAATACAGGGACGAACAGAGTCCACGGTGCTGGTGGCACAAAATGGGATCATCAAGCTAGGCTCAAGCTACAGGAACCGTGTATCAGTACCCAGCCACCCTGAAGTTGTCGGTGACGCCTCGCTCACAATTGTGAAGCTGCGTGCCAGTGACGCTGGCACTTATCGTTGCGAGGTCATGTTCGGGATTGAAGACACCCAGGATACTGTTAACCTTGATGTCAGCGGTAAGAGATTCCCAAGTATCCTTCCTCTATTATGGTGGAATTAGACAAAAACTTTAAAATTGTAGAGGTGGGATGCTGCAAAACTTAATAATAGTGAAATGCCACACAAGTGCTGACAGAAATGTAAACAGGATGGGAAAGTTATGGGCGTCCTTTTGCTTACATTGATAGCAGCAGCTAACCGTTAGTCATGCAGAGTAACCACAGCTTTTATTTTAGAGGTGACGCTCTCTTGAAAAAGAGTCAGATGACCTTTTTTTTTGGTAATTTTCCATATCAGCCACAGCAGTGCCTTAGTTCCAGTGATTATCAGTTCATTATCCATTCAAACACAGTGCATTGCTGTAATATTGGGTGCCACCGTGTCAGTATAGATTTTTTATTTATAGGAAGCGTTAGTATGTCTGTGGGAGGCAGTATTCTTCAGCATCCTAAAAATGATAGCGTCCTTATGCTGGTAGGGGATGTGGTGAGGTGGGGGGTGGGGTCATCAATCCTTACCTAGTGTCATGTGCATTCTACATGCTCTCATTTGAGAAGTACGCTGGGAGATATAACTCATGTAGAAAACATGGGTGGGGGGGGGGACACTCAGATAGTTTTGGTTTTCACTGGTTTACAATCTGCATAACCTCTTTTCCAACTCTCTGCAATGTTAATTATGACTATCAATCATATCTTTTGCGTCTATTTACTGTCCACAAATATGGGGATTTCAGGGCCATGGCATCATATGGAGTTCTCTCGTTTGTTTGTGGTGAACTGCATTTTGTGTCGCTCCTCCATTTATTGCAGAGATCCTTCTTTCTGAAGAAGCTGAGTGACCTAGTTATATCACACATAGAGGGTGCTTTATAGGACGTTTGCCATAATTTACAGCGCTGAAGTTAAACTAATGACTTCCAGATCACTCCATGCCTGAGTTTTTAATTTTCATTTTCATTTTCATTTTTCACTGCTTATTGTTAGGTGTTGTCTTTCACTACCGATCAAGCATCAGCAGGTACACTTTGGACTACCAGAAAGCTGTACAAACTTGTGAAAACGTTGGAGCAAACATTGCAACCTATGAGCAACTGAAAGCAGCCTATGAGGACGGCTTTGATCAATGCGATGCCGGTTGGATTGCTGACCAGACAGTGAGGTTAGCTGCATTTCAGTTGCCTGTCCCAGAGACAACAACACTGCTGTTTAATCACGTATGCTCTATATGTCCGACTAAATTCTGGAGTGATGTGAAAGACAAAGACTTTAAAATGGCTCTTTGTTTCTCTTTTTTTATACAGATACCCAATTACAAGGCCAAGAGAGGGCTGTCATGGCAACCTTCCTAATAAACCTGGTGTCAGGTCGTATGGAACCAGAAAACCTACAGAGACCTACGATGTGTACTGTTATGTAGGCAAACTGGATGGTAAGTAGTGGATTGTCCTTCCGTAGCACTGACCCATGTTTAGTCTGAACTTAAGAAGCCTTCAAATCATCATCCGTGTTTAAGTACATTTAATTTTTACAGTTTGGAAACACACTTTTGTTCTTGTTTAAATATAAAAGCTGGTGAATGTGGGTGACCTTTTTCCAGTTTCCTTATAAGTGGGACTTGAAACATATTTTCTACAGTGGTTTTTGAATGAGACACCAACAAAAATGTGATAATGGGGTTATTAAAGGTCTTTGGCCCAGTTTATGGGAAGTCTTAGTTTGTCTTTTTTCTCTGTCCATCCTGTTATTCCTGTTATTTACTAAAGTGCTTTATCAGCTACCTTAGGATTTGTACTGCACAGTCATCTTAGTCAACACAATATATGTTCAAATATATTTGTCACAGTCTTCGAGTCATAAACGTGAACCCATCCGCTGAGGACATATACATATATGCATATACACACCCCTCATCATTATTGTGTGCATTAGATAATAGAGATGGACGAGAAATGAAAGGACAAAATCGATAGAGATGACTGACATGTTACAGCGGTCTTCCTCTGGAACTGAACAAGGAAAGTTTTGGCACCCCACAACAACCTGAATATTCATTTCCATTATATTGTAATATTGTCTCAGTTTTCTGACAATTTATGATCTAGGAACAGACATGCTTGGCGGATGTGGTTTGATGTGTTCGAGGTTGTCAAGTGTAATAACTTGGCCATAAATTAACCATGAAAATTAATGAGTGAGCTGCAAGACACTGACTGCTTTTTTTTTTCTATAGTTATGTAATTCCAGGGATCTTATAATATAGCTAAACAAAATGTGAACTCCATTTATGCTTATAGCAGTCATCAATATGATATCTAAAGAGCAGGAAGGGTCCAGTAAAACCACCGTGTAAAATACTGAAATCAAATAGGTTTTTTGAGGATATAACGTATGTTATCTGTTTTTAAAAGGGAAAACATTCCTGTGTGAACGACATCTCCTAATCTCAATGCCCTTGTAAATCAATGGGATGAAACCATCAAGGGATATTTGAAACGTTACGCCCAAAACTAACTGAAAACATATAGGCAGTCTGCCATCGTCTCTTAATGTTGTTTGGTTTTAGTTAAGATCTTGGCTTTTAGTACCCTTTTCATTTATATAATCCTGTGAGCATAGACAAACGTTCACACTGGTCATTCTGCAGAGATTCTGACATGAACATGAAGGAAGGAAACAGCAGGTGTTTCCTCTACCCACTTTGGGGAAACCTAATGTCCTGCAATACAAACATATTTATGGACAGGCCAGGCACATTTTCAGCATTGCTATCCCACCTCAGAATAATATAATGAAAGAACTACTGTTGTCCTAAATATGATTGGTGGGAGATGTTTTGGGTCTCTGCCCTGCACAGCTGTGACTGATGTCAGCTGTGTTGGTCTTTTCTGAAAGGTCAGAATGGACTAAAAATCTAAAGTATAGGCTATTTCAGTATGTTTTCAATCTAAAAATAATAAATACATTTTAAAGGAGAAATTACTTCTGATCTACTAGGTAATAAACCCTCTTTTTGTGTTGCTGTGACCACAGATGATTTGTTGCTATTTCGCCTATGTGCATCTACATTTGCCACTGTTTCTCATTATTTTTTATCAGGTCAAGTCTTTTATGCTCCCGTGACCCATAAGATGACTTTTGAAGAAGCCAGTGAAGAGTGTAAAAAGAGGAAAGCTGTCCTGGCAAGTCCCGGACAGCTGCATGCTGCTTGGAGACAGGGGCTGGACCGATGTGACTACGGCTGGCTCTCCGATGGCAGCGTACGGCATCCTGTCGCAGTCCCCAGAACTAAGTGTGGCGGAGGCCAACTCGGCGTGAGGACCATGTATCGCTACAGAAATCAGACTGGCTTCCCAGAACCAACTAGAAAGTTTGGGGCTTACTGCTTTAAAGGTAAAAACTCACTCCAAGATTCCTGTTGTTACTCCTTATTGCATTTGGAGTTTGTAATGGAACAAAGTGTTACCTACATATGCGACGTATATGTTAGAAGAGACAGAAAGTGACCAAAGACACAGACCACTCCCTAACAAAACCATGCTTGACTGTAAGGAGCTATGATCTCATCTCCTACATTCACTCCTGCTTCTCCACCCTTTGATTTTCTGTGTCTTTGCACCACATTACACTTTGCCATATCTGAATCACATTGACCTTTTTAACATATCTGAAAGCCTCTCTTTCCTCCCTCTTAGTTTGCGTCTGTTTCACGCCTTGCGATTGCATAGTTTCAGTAACAGCAACATGAGCAACGCTGAGGGAGGATTTTCTTCTGAGCACGGCATGTCATGTGCCAGACTACAGCATCCCGTTGACCTCACTGTCTCAAAGTTTGTCTCCCGCCCATTTCTGAGGCAAAAAAGCGAGCCAAGAGAAAAGTGAATTCATAGTGGTAAACTCTGTTTTCTTTGAATGCAAAAGACTGACTTTTTTTTCTTGATTGAGGAATAATGACCAAAAGTTTGCTTAAGAGAATGAGAACAGTTTATATCTGTTTGACTCTTTATTGCTTCCAGCTGGGCTAATCAAGGTTTCTTAAGCTTTACCCTCGTACAACCTCAATGTTATTGTGAATCAAACAAAAACAAGTTAATGCACTTGAGTGCAATTTTGAATATTTAAAGATATCAATCTTGGTAATATATAAAGTCAAATTAATTGCACATTATAACAAAGAATCAACCTAAACACTAAATAAGATCATGAGGATTTTTTAAATTTTTTTTTATTTTCGCCAACTCTTGCTGCACACTGTGATAATTACTGACCATGAGAGGGAAAGGAATTATAGCTGTAGATCTTTATAAATAGTGACATTTCATGGTTGACTGGAAGTAGGCAGAATTAGACTTAATCCCTTAAAATGTGAGCGTTCTTAACTAATCGGTTTTCTTAAAACAACAGAAAATGACAGGTGATAGTTGCCATTTAGAGAAACACCAAAAGCAACTAATGCCACATCTGTCAGCCTTTTTAGCCTCGCTATCTACCACCTTTCCATCTTTCACCTCTCATTTCCTCTGCCAGTTTGCTGTCTGTCATTCTCACTTGTACTTATCAGAGCAGACGTTTGGATAATGGACAAAGCTACTGCTGGACTTCTAAATTCAGTCATCCTTGCTGACCTCTGACCTGGCCTTTCCATCTTTACAAATGAGAAGTTGGACAGATAAGCCGCCTACTGCCTGGCCATTTACTGCCCCTGGGCCATGCTAACTCTCGTGGTGATAAGTCCCTGCAGAGTTCACGCAAATGGGCCACCTTCAGCTTCTGCTCTGTGTATTTCATGTCAGCCCTCTCACTCGTGTTGTATTTACACTCCCAGCGTAAGTGCTTTTCAAGTACTCTCATTTGGCAGGATTTACTCCATCATTTCCTGAATTCCCACGCCTGATCATATCTTAATAAAAGGAATATTGTGTAAATCGACTCTACTTAGATTAGACAAAAAGACGAAGAGAGAAGAGGTAGTGCAGTGGGAAAATTGGAAAATTAGTCTCTGATTGATTTTTGGAGTGGCCTAAAGAAAACAAAGGTCTGAATAAAGGGAACAGCTCAAACTCGTTGGTGACATAATGCACTCCCTCTGAGAGCAAGCACAGTTTTTCCTGTAAGGGAAAAACATATGTCACACCTTACATCAGAGATACATCATGAGGAAAGGGGTCTGCTACGTAATGGTCAACAGCTGCCTTTACAGATTCTGCCTGCGCCCCAGACGAAAGCTTTCTAAAACGGTTTCACTGGTGTTTATGAGTAAATGAGATAACTTTTGATGAAAGTGATCTTGGGAAGACAGGGGAGAACCAGTGTTAAAAGAACGTCTTAATAATTGTAATAGTAAACTTTAAACACCATCACTGTAATCAAGTGATCAAGTCACGGGCTGCTCTTCAGATAATCGGGTGGGTTGAATACACGAATAAAAAAGCCAGGGTAGCTCTTGACCAAACCACAACACTAGATTACTTATGATTTATATGGTGTTTAATTCATCTGTTAAACACATGGTTGCCCTTTCCCACAGAGCACGCTCATAGAAACATTTAAAGTGCACTTGGCTGTTCAAATAAAATTGAGGTAATCTCACTGATTCCATGCCCTATAATGCACAGTAAAACTTTGTTACTGTGGTTTCAACAATTTATTTGAAGAAGTTTAATGAATAACTGTTAAAGCTAGATATGAGAGAGGAAGCCTTTGACGGGGAAGTTTCTAGGAAACTTGGTATTTAAATATTGGGTGGCCACTTATTTTTGCTGCTATCGCGAATTGACTGCAACAGACTCATTAGACTTATCTCGCAAACTTATTAAGGGTGACTTAAAATTGACCTGCTGAATCACATTACTGTTTGTAATCTTGGCTTCTTAATGTACATCAATATGGTGTTTGTGAAATGCTGACAATGAAACAATGAATCTTGGCTATCTAGATCAGTAATGTGATAGAAATGTCACTTTAGCCAACCAAAAGCTCTGTTTGATATTTAAATTCATTCTGACTTTGTGATCATGTGCTTATGTATGTTGTATAGGAAGGAGAATGGTATTCAGCCAGACTTCCTTTGTGGATGTATCTGTGGTAGAAATGACCACCAACATCATCAGTCCTAGTACCTCCATCCCTTTACTGGAGAGTAGCACCATTCTGACAACTACGACATCTGAAAAAACATCAGAGGCAGACATTTCTCCAGATTCTTCTACAGATCCTCCATCTATGTTCTCAACCAGCATGGCTCCACCTCGCCCCACCCCAGCAGGCCATGAGGAAGAGTTAATCACAACAGTTGCACCCACTATCAAAGACGACCATGAGGACGATGATGATGTAACAGCTGCGCCAGATTCTCGCACTGATGATCAAAATGTAACCTTTGTGGAAACTGCTGCTGCCCATGGTGGCACAGCGACAGAAACTAAGATCACGGTGGAAAGCACTGATGCCACAGTGTCTGATGATGAGTCAGATGATCAATCAGTAATTCAGGTCAGCACGATTCAGCCTGACGTCCCTATACCAGATGCTTCTCTCCGCAACGAGCTCATGTTTGCTGAAGGGGAGACAGAGGAAACTGTCATAGATCCTAGGAACATCACATCGATCTCTGATCTCACTGACACTCCGACCAAATCATCTGAAGTTAGCCATGAGGAAATGCTTAGCTCCTCACAATTAACACCATCACCTTCAATCAGTGATATAGCAACAGACGATAATTTGAGCTACGATGACATTTATCCTATGATAGGTTTAGAGGGTCAGCCACCTACTAGGGCATCCCAACCAGATGGCTCAGCCAGCCCTTCAGACACCAATAGAATTGATGATACAATCACAGCCATTCCACCTTTAAATAACACCCATCGTGTCAGTGAGGTGAAGGTAACCACCACAGTGACACCAAATACTGCCAGCAGTGTTGAGACACCACCAACACCTGAAGTTTCACCAGGCACAATCATCCTGATTGACAGTGTAATGTTAACTGAGGAAGTGAAATCTTCAGCAGCTGTCCATGTCTTTGATGAGTCTTCCACTCAGGTGACAGAGCGAATTGGTAGCACCTTGATGGAGGACGAAACAGCAGCAGAGTTTGGTACAGAGTTCTTTATATCTGCTCCAACGACTTCAACGGTGGCCAGTACAACAGCCCATCCAGCTGCAGTGATCACAGATAACCAGACCACCACTACGCAGATTCAGACTGCATCAGGTAAGACGCTCCAACAATACCTTAATATTTCAGCTTTCTTGTGAAATTTTTCTGTTCAGTGCAGTTTTTTTTCCTCTGTTTTGTTGTGAGATTAAAGGAGTGACAAATGAAAAGAAAGGCTGATGTTACAAGTGTAGTTTTGCACTTTGTTCACATTGCTGTGTTTTAGGCCCATTTATTGTAATGTTGCTGATGTAGAGTAGCTGCAAATTGGTTGTTCCTCTTGGGTCTGTAAAGACAAAATTATGGAGAGAATGCAGAAAACGGATATGTGAATATAGCAAAGCCAACTGTAAAGGGTTTCTTCTTTAGCATTTTGTTTACATCAGGTGAATGGGTGGCTTAAAATGTACTGTCCTTATTTGTACGAGCCATTAAGGTCGTTAACAGTAGTGGTTAAGTTATGGTTCAATGGACTTGATCTCTGAATTTTGATAATATTTAATTACGGTCTTTGCATAGACTCAAACATAATTAGTTACAGTGAGGGAGTACTCATGGTTCTGTGGTGTTTCAAATTACTGGTTGTAAGTCTTCAGTCATTTAGTAAGAGGGATACCCCTACCACATGTTTATGTGTTATCAGTGACTGCTGCTGAATGGCATGCTTTGCCTGAGGGAACCAGATACAGTGGGGCAAAAAAGTATTTAGTCAGCCAC